ATACTATACCTACTTTTTCCTGGGACTCGACTTACCGATTAAGGGTCATAATTTATAGGGCCCAATTCACTAATTCAGAGTTTAATATGGTGTTCGTGCATTGTTGTAAGAATAGATATCAGCTGCTGGTATAAATTATACCATATTATACCTTATAATATAATGTAATATGATGACACAATGCAGTAGAGTAGTAAAGACGAATTTATCGTACCTACATATTATTGTTATTTACTATCACTAAGATGCCCAGAAACAATAATATTTWTGTTGATCTTGTATCGGAATAAATTTTAGTTTTTCAATATTTTGACTCTTATTAAACTGTTTAGTTGTCGGAATATTGGTACGGTCCWAAGAATTTATAAAAAAAGAAATAAAAACGCGGAATACTGGTATTCTTGAAAATTTTATTTTCAAGAGTCCTAAAATATTTGCAATGTTTATATAGTTTTGATAAATTACGATCGTCAACAAGTTAAATTTGAATAACATATTAAAAACAAAAATATAATGTTAGCAATCAAAATTAACAAGAAACACAAATAAGTTAATACAAAGTATATAGCAAGTCCTTATTTAAAATAAATATAAAATACAAAATGCAATAATAACTATTTAACACACATTGCTATAGATATTATTTAAAAATTGTCCTGTTTTAATTTCTTTATATAGTAAATATTAAATATATATATTAATATATATTAAATATTAAATAGCTCTCACATTCGTTGTGTAATTTGTCTAGTAAAGTATTTATTTTTTTAAACTTTTAGGCGTTAAGGTATTGCTATACACATATATTTGATTTAAAATGGGTTGAAATAGTGTTTATTTTCACTCATATAGTCACAATAGTGGTTTCCCAACGATCGTCGGTAAAATAAAATAAAAAATAATTGTTCATATTTTATTAATTTATTTCTCCATAAAATTTTGGGAAACCTTGATTTTTTTGGTTCGTACTAGTATTCTGCGTTTATTAAGATCGTACCAGTTTTCCGTTTACCGAACTGTAAACACAGATTTTTTAATTTATACTTCAATTCAAATTTAGACGAAATTAGTTATTTAAACCAAGAATAATGATTTTACTTATTTTTTCAACTTAAAATTATTATTCGCAAGTACTTTAAACTTTTAAAGTGTTTCATTATATATTTTATACAAATAATAATATTTTCAATTTAAATGTTTTTTTGCAAAAATGAATTCAGCTTATTGTATTATTAGTTTATTACAAATAGTAAAATAAATTGCTAGCTATTAGTTAGGGATGAGTAGTATACGTTGAATAATTTAGTTTATGTGGTTTTTAAAGTAAAACGATTACCACAATATAATTTATTTATTTACCAATRAATGATTAATTAGATAGTCTGCCTTGGAAGCTATTAGTTGATCAAAGCTTAAAAAAATGTTTATAAAAGCAATAGTTCTGTTTCAAATAGGAGATATCGTTAATCTAAAATGTTATATTGATATAATTTAAATATTAAATTACTTAAGTACCACCTTACAATTTGTCACAACCATTTTAACCAGTGAAAAATTATGAATAACTGATTTTTTAAGGAGTTTAGAACATAATGGTATAAACTCCAGAAGGAGCAGTTAAGCCYCAAATAGCTATATTGATTAAAGGATTACTACAAAAGAGAAAGAAATAAACGTTAAAAATATAACATAATTTAAAACTTTTTATAGATATAATACATCATTAATATGGTTTTATTAATTAAAACACTGCACTATTATAGTGAATCATTTTTAAAAACTCAAATAATGTTTTATATAATAACGATATGATTAAATTAATGTTGTATAATAATGATTTCTCATATTTCTACGTATATTATTCAATAAATCTTACAGTGCCCTAACGTCATACAGTACAATATAATAAATATAATTGTATATGTAAATAAATATTTTTGAAAAAAAAACAAATATTAACAATTATTAGGCATATATTATGTTATCACGTATTATAAATTATAATTTACATGTGTAACGAAAAACAATAGTTTAACCTATAGCATTTATAACTAGAAAAAACATTGTTGAATTATACAAGTTATATGATAATGTAATTTAATGAAAAATATTTCATTTATGCAATGTATATGTTTTGATTCATTCATTTTTACCTCTTAACYAGATTTATTGAAATCTTCATTATTGATCTAATTGCAGAATGATTATCATATGGACTCATTTATAAACTAATCAGGGGATAGGCTATGTTAACTTTGTGATACAAATGGTTTTTTTTTTTAGCAATTCATAACTTTTATGAAAAACGAGACAAAATAGTGTAGAAAATGCAAGTATTTAGTATGTAAATATAATACATTATTCGGGAAAGCAAAGTAGAGATCACGGATCAGCGGAATCACGATTACAAAAACTAGTATGTACAACATACAATATTATTTTTAGTTTTTAAAATATTAAATATTTACTAAAATATAATTAAATTATTTATTAAATGCCTTATATTAACTATGCTTTAAGCTTTTATAACGCATCGGTTACTTAATTTTGTTAATTCCAAATCTAAAATATAGAACCTAAAACTGTAATTGAATAATTGAAACTAGAAAATAATCAGATAATTTCTATTATACATTCATAAATATAACTTGCGTCATACTTAAAGTTTCGTACATTAAATCAATTTAATGTATTTAAAGAAAAATCATGTTATTCAGAACACTCCAATGTATGCCTGCTGTTCATAAGAAAAAAAATATAGTAACAAAAAAAGTTCATGAGTGATACTAAATATACATATTTCCATAATATCATAATATCATAACCTACCTGCATTTATAAATTTATAATGAAGTAAGTATATACTAGATTGATAGCGCCATAGAGGTAGGAAGATATACAGGTAGTAGTTATATTACGAAAGTATGATACATCAGTGACTTGCTAGGCTGTCTTACAATAGAGTATAYMTGCTTACATATAGTTTAGGTATATAAATAGTAATAATAGTATTAAAATATGATATTATATAAACACAACTTGTGTTACACAAGTAATAATTGTAAAAACACGGTTAACGTTTTTTCATATTTGGAATTTGATTTTGTTGAAATATTAAACGAATACAACTTAATTAGTATAACGCACTGTATATTAATATGGTTTGGCTATGAAATATACCATAATAACTGATCAACGATCGACGTGCATCTTTATCGCAGATTGCGATATTAGCCGAATTGCTTATATTACTACTAGTCGTGAATCGTGATTATAATATTAATATTATAGTAATGATATCGATATAAGATCAGTAATATCGATGACTTAAATGTTTAGTATTGGAATTTAAAACTTTTTGTACGCAGTACCTACGCTATACCCGTGCGAGTGTACGACAATTTAATAGCTTCAGTGAGCTGGCGGTATGTGAAATTCACTCACCGGTATTCGGTATGTATTTACATACCGGTTTCTATCGGTATACCGGTAATTCGGTATTTTTCGGTAAATACCGTCTCTTCGGTAAATACCGTACATTCGATAAATACCGTATCTTTACTCGCCGTACCGAAAAATACCGGTATACCGGAATATTCAAATACCGGTATTTTTAAATACCGGTAGTTCCAAATACCGGTGACTCACCGGTATACCGTAAATACTGCCAGCTCTAAGCTTCAGTGATTGTATAGTGTATAATGCATATAATATGATAGGTACACAAGAATCTACACATTGAGTTTTATTTTCAAATTGTATTACGATATTTTTTAATATTTCGTACAACTCGTACCTACCTACCTATATGATAATATTATGATATATTAATGTACAAAGTGGTTATTAATCTTTAATATTGCATTATTATTATATTTTTTCATAACGACTCATAATATCATTATTTTATTTGACCATATTCGTTGGTAGGTACTAGAACTACTATTAATTATATGTAAATAATGCTGAATGTTTTACGTAAAGTTTTCATTATTTCTAATATTTCTSAATACCTTAAATTAGTAGTGATGAACTTTTAATTTATATTATTAAATATACTGTGCAACATAAWTATTATGAACTTATAGATTTTTTTAAAAATGTTTATATAATATTATCGTTAACCAATTTATTCGGGTTCTAAATCAACAATTTGTATAACGCAAGTGCTAAATAATATTATGACTTATGTGTCATCTACAAAAATATCGACTCAGCGGAAGTTTTCGTAAAACATGATACGTATATTGTATAGATATCTACAATTTTGTACATTTTATTAATATCATGTACACGCCAACGCTCACTCGTCTCTGCGAACAACGCTATTCCGAATTGACCGAATTATTTCCRACGGACGAGTAATCGTGTACAACGATTTTATGAGCTTGATCAAGCGGCGGGGATATCGGGTGTGGGTCTGCAGGTRTACAGCCGGTCTGCGGCGGGTGTGGGTGTTGGTATTAATACATAAATACATAATAATAAATAACATGGGTGTAATCGGTGACGTGACTCGTACCACTGTCGGGTCTCTCCCTCCCTCCCTCTCCCACAAATCATCATGGCCACCCATGTCTGTCCGCTCATCGGGTGACGCGCGAACGCGGCGGAAACGACGCGGCCGTGGCTGGCTGATGACGGTGGTTGTATAGTCCTGTCGTGTTCGTCCGGGTCGCTGTCCGCCGTGACGCTCTAGACGGGCAGAGGGACGGGGTCCCACGTGAGGTTCTGCAGGTACGTCGTGTCACTGATGTCATTGTCGCGTTTGTCGAAAAGCGCCGTCGCGCTGCCATTGCGTGGCCGCCGGCGTCGCCGCCGAGTGAACGACCGCGTGTAGATCTTCAGCACTTGACAGTTGCACGTGACGGCCAGCGCGACCAGTATGCCCTGCAGCGAGTGGCCGACGTTGTACGCGATCCACGCCACCGGGTCGGATGTCGGCGATCCGTTCCTGGCCACGTAACCGAACACGTTCACTGCGAACAGCAGCGTGGTGATCTTCACGTACAGGTGCAGCTGCAGCGTGCGCTTCCGGTGCATCTTCAGCCGCGTCTTCTTGTCCACCTGCAGACCGACCGTGGCTCTGGCGGTCAGCCAGCTCCGGACCAGTGAGTTGATGATGGCCGCAAAACAGCACAGCGCGGGCACGGCGAACGTCACGTTGTAGATGGTCTTCTCGAAAAACCTGCAACACGCGTGTTCGCGGCAGAGTATATCAATATTATTATTATTATTATCATTATTATTATTATTATTATTATTATTATTATTATTATTATTATTATTATTATTATTATTGTTGTTGTTGTTGTGTCGTGCTCAGACAACTGACGCCGCTGATTTTGTGTCATGTAAATTGGCGTATTTCCGGGAGGGGGGTTATCCCGGGACTCGACTCCTCACAAAAAATTGGATAATACGTCTGCACTGGTCATAATTATGTAGGTCAGGTATTCTCAAACTTTTATGAACATTGTACCACTTTTTACCAATACATTTTTTGGAGTAATTTCATAAATTCATTAATATAAAAGTATTTATAACTGTTTGTATTTATTGTACCTTGTGAATTTATTTAGCGCAAATTTTTTTACTTAGCTTGGCGCAGTTAATAGTCTCTACAACTAAGAACCAAATGTCTCGATTTCTACATAAATATTCGCATCATTTTG